CAGACTGGTTTCTTGAACATCACCAATAGTTTACTGTAGTCAAATGGCCTCCACATTCACCCGATCTCAATCCAATAGAGCACCTTTGGGATGTGGTGGAATGGGAGATTTGCATTATGGATGTGCAGCTGACAAATCTGCAGCAACTGCGTGATGCTATCATGTCAATATGGACCAAAATCTCTGAGGAATATTTCCAGTACCTGGTTGAATCTATACCAAGAAGGATTAAGACAGTTCTTAAGGCAAAAGGGGGTCCAACTCGGTACTAGAAAGGTGTACCTAATAAAGTGGCCGGTGAGTGTACGTTTTAAAGAGAATGCAGAAGAAAGCTGTGAAAACGCCTTGATATGCAGTGTTAGCTTTCTGGCTGGCAGGAAGGTAGTGGAGTCTCCCACCTGCATTAAGTTAAATTAACGACAGCTTAAATGTCCCATGTGCAGCGGGACATGGAAACACTAGTGTTGTCTGGTTACCTGTCTGGGAGGAGCGGCGCGGTGTAGTTTTTGCTATTAAGACAGAAGACCGTATGTGTGTGTGTGTGTGCATGGGTTTCTGTGTGCTAGAAGATTAGGTGAATGTAGGTAACACAAAACCCCACCACACATTTATGAGGCCACTGCACCCGATCCCCCTCAACACTCACTCACAAACACACACACAAGCAGAGAGAGAGAGAACAGTAGAGACCTTTCTCTAGGCTGCTAACAGGGCCCTCTTTCTAGTTCCTGTCTCTTTTACCCTTTCCTCCTCTAGACAGAAAATGAAGAGAGGAAGGGGAAAAGAGAGAGCATCTCAGATGTCAGACCACAAGAACTGAAATCAAACACGATCAAAAAGAGCCGGGCCTTTTCACAAGGAGAAAAACACAGGTAGTTTTCATGGATGACTTCACCAGAGGGAATTGTACTGTGAAGAGAAAATTAATCTTGTCCAGAAAACTAGGTATTTCAACTCAGCTACAAGACACTATTATTAATATCACTCTATGTTCTCCATCATTAATTTAAAAGCTGCATGTGCACAAAGCACATCTAGTTCAGAGGACTGTGAGGTCATGTGACCTGTTCTGGCATTTAATAGTGTTACTTTACCTAGATTTATCAACATTTTGCGCAGTAGTAGAGTAAAACTGCTAAATATCTGACCATTTAAACCCTTGTCCTTGAATGACCTGACAAAAGTACCATTTAACTCTATAAAGTAGCATTAAAATTGGAAACCGAGTAAAATTAAATGTTTTAAACATTTGATACAACTATAATAAAAAGCTTTATTTAATGAAATTACACTAAATAAATCCTACAGTATCACTAATCAATTTTGATGGTACTTTTTACAAGAATGCACGAGGCATAATGCTCCAATTTTGCCACTTTGACCCAAAATAAATATTTTAGTGCTTTAAAAAAGTGCCATCTATAGACTGTAATTGTGTTTTAATCTACATACTGTAAAGAGTACCCCACCTCCACCATGTACGCACCAATATACAGTGCTCAGCATAATTGAGTACATCGCATTTGGAAAATTAATATTTTTCTCCATTTCGCAGTGAATACAGGCAATGTATTTTGGTGCATTTGGACCAGAAAGAGATTTATTAGACAGATATATTTATTAAAATAACATTTTAGTTACCAAAGATATTTAACAAATGGAAAGATAATACAGTTAACCTACAACCTACAAAATTTAAACTAAATATTTTATTTGTTTTGCTTCTCGATTTTTCCTCTTTATTAAATCTGTATTTAAGATTTTTCTTTAACATATATATGGGTGTACTAATTTTGGGACCATTGTTCTAAGTTATTTTGTTTGATTAGCTCTAGATTTGGCTTCAGTACTGACTGATTGATGTATATGCACAATTATAACATTGTATAGCTTTCTATTAAAAATATAAATTTAAAAGATAGATTAGTGAGTGGTGTACTTACAGTATACTGTATGTGGTGAGCACTGTATACACACTAGGCATGGGATGGTAATTGTTTTCAAGGTATACTGCTGTTTTGAAAAGTTAAGGTTTTAAAATTGGCAAATTTTTCTGCTCTACCGTTCCTAAGGTATATAGAAGACATTTATATATATATATATATATATATATATATATATATACATCTTTTTTTTGTTTTTTAGGACAACAGCATCTCCAGCAGAAAAGTTATACAATGATGGTGTTTTACTCTTCTAAAATATTTTAAATGTTTCTCAAAATAAAATGTATTATGTTCAAAGAGGAAAAAAAAAAGTTTTGTGTTTTACCCAGACATTTAAAAATAATATATTTTAGAGCAGTAATCGCAATACTGTGAAACTGTTTTTTTTTTTTTTTTTTTTTTTTCTTCTATGGGTTATTATACCATCAGAATCTTATACCAGCTTATGACCAATACAAACACCAATTCAGTTCACCTACTCAATCAATTGCATTAACATGGTAATTTTTCACACCATGAATTTTGTGTTGCAGTCCATCCTTGAAGGAGGCTTGAAGCTTGACTCAAACTCCAAGTAAAAGTCCCCCATTTTTAAAACATTTTGAGAAAAAAAAAAAAAAAAAAAAAAAACGAGGAGGAGATGGGGATGTGGAGGAATGCCGGAACAGAAGTTAACTGAAACTACTACGTTACTTATATACACAAATGATGATTGACTGACCCACTTAACTGATCCGGCTTCTCCCGAACTTACTTTAGGAACTTCCTTAAGACATGAAAAAAATATCAGAATAAATAATTACTGTACTATGTGAAATCTCCCTTAAATGTATTAATTGTGCACCCTTATCTAGCAGTTATATCAGCAGTTATGCATTATACTCCTTCCTTACAGAAACCTGACACTGATCAAATCAGTGATTCATCAAGAATTAGTGACTTGAGTCCATAATGAATGTGCCTCATACACTTTTCTTTCATGATGAGTGACAGAGGCAGAAATATATTGGGAGGGAAGGTACATGCAGATTAAAAAATAAATAGCTAATTAAAGTTGGGAGGTAAGGAACAAGAAGGTCATCATGACAGTCAAGGCCAGCAAAAAAAGAAAAGCCGTCAAAACCAAGCTGGAAATATTAAGTAAAAAAAAATAAAAAATCTAATGACTTCTCTTTCCAAAGTATTTGATATAGACTATTATGCTATCTTAATGGGATTTTGCGAGGGCATGTTGGCTACTCGTGATAACGCTCAATAAAACATCTAAAGAGCCCCTCTTAAATTGTCAGCAGGGATGTACGTAATGACGCTGGACTTGATCTCGCTCCTCGCCAAGGAGGCTGTAATTGCAAACTGGTAATAGTGTAGAACTCTTTTGCTCAACGCCCTGTGAAAGTCTGCTGCATTTGACAAGCAAATGGACGGATCGTACAAAGCACAGCAGCTTACAAATAAAAAGCAAATAAATAATTATCTAAGCGGAGTACTTGGACACACAATACATGTGCCGGGGCAGCAAATGGAGGCTGTGTTTAAAAATGCATGAGATGTCCGAAAGAAACATAGTCAACAGTACTCCGTTCGTAGAGAGTGCAGGCGCCTAAACACAGCACATCTGAAGGCTGCTCAAGAGGGCTAGAGAAAAGGGAGAGATGAAAGAAAGACAGAGTTGTCAACAGAAAAACAAGGAAGCTGTGGAAGGAGCCAGGCTTTGTTAAGAAGAAGAAAATAATAAAATGAGTCAAGAGACACAAGTGGAAGCCTGGAAAGAGGAAGCAAGCTTTAAAATCGACTGATAAAAGAAGGTGTTTCTAAACACAGAGTGGGATAAATTTAATAAATTACCAAATCAAAGCATGAATCGGGTTGGGTGTGTTAGGAAGAAAATGCAGTGTGATGGTGTGAGAGAGAGGGCTGCCTTGTGGCTTGTGTTTGGAAAGGGCATTGTTCTGGAATGCAAGGGAGGACAGTACTTACGCCATGTTAGATAGGAATCAATAATGCATTAACCACCTTAGAAAACACATGAAACGACAGGGCAAGTGTTCTTTTCCTGGCAAATCTGGACAATAAAAGAGCCGACTTCATTTTGAATTAACCTCACCTAGCACAGAATCGCTCCACAGGACAGGGAACAATAATGATATGAATTGATTATTTCACATGTGGGCCTTAGAATTTACAAAGCCATTTTGTGGCTGCTGTAACAAAGGGCATTTTATGCTTTAAATAATGGCATGAACAACAAGGAGAGTACAAGAGGTATGGGGTACGAATAACGATAAGAGAATGTGAGATAAGAGAGAGAGAGAGAGAGAGAGAGAGAGAGAGAGAGAGAGAGAGAGAGAGAGAAGAGAGACCAGATTTCACTGCTGGGTCACTGAATTTGTCCAGACACACAAGTGCACAGGAATGTTAAATGTGACCTCCCGCCCAGATGTTCGCAGTCTGTTCGGATAAGCACGTTAAAACATGACACCACAACTAACATTCCACCTTTTTCAATCTTTTCCCCCTCAGCTTCATCTCACTCACCCCTCCTCTATTCTGCCTACCCCCTAGGAAGAGAAAGAAGTAACCATGTTTTGATAAAAGAGGTTGGGTCGTGCTCCAGCCGCAAACCTACTGCTGAGACAGAATAGCTGTGAACCAGAGCCATATGTGATCCTATTGGATCTTCAGATGCACACACACAGACAAAGGTCAAAAAAATGCTGACACCCGCATCTGCCCTACAACTACACTAAAAGACGTGCCAATGTGTCTACAGCGTGGCCTCGACACCCCAGGTGGCCCGGGCGGATATGATATCCCTGACTGAAGAATGCCTTCATGTCGCTTTTAGCATTACATCTAAATGGCACTCTGAGGCGAAGCAGGTCGATACAGGGAAACAGAAGCATTGGCTAAAAATACATATATCCAGCATGATAGTATTACAGTGCAGGCTGAATAGTGAAGGTGTTTTATAGAGACTCAGAAAAAGCTTGATGATTCAAGTATTTAAAAATGTGATTGATATCATAGATTCAAAAGCAGAAATGTTGTTCTTACCTGTTTGTTGTACTTGTTGATGGTTTGGCTGCTGTACTCAGAACAGTGGTCTGATCCGATGGATATGTTATCTCCAGTGCCGACAAATGTGTTCGCCGGTGGCAGGTCCTGAACAGCCTGGTGCTTTTTTCCCGCCGTGGGCGACTGAGGATGCAGCTGCACTGTGGGCAAGGGTGAGCTGGATTTGTAATGGCGAGCAAGATCTGGGCTTCCAGGGCCACCGTTGACCGAGCGATATCGGCCCATTCCAGGACTGTCCGACAGTTTCTCGTTGACGCCATCATAGCGTTGTCCATTTGGCTTAGATGCCTCAACGGTTACAATGCTGCTGTATAAAGGTTGTTTAGACTTTTTCTTATTCTTGTCTTTCTTGGGTTTCTTGCCTTTATCATGTTGTTGAGGTGTGAAGAAGTCCTCGTGGTCTTTTTTTCCAGCCTCATAGCCATTCTTGTTCTTGGGACGGCAGTAGCGGGCCATGACAACCACAAGGATGATAAGTATGACTGTCATGATGCCTGACACGACCCCTATGGCAATGCTGAGCCGTTGCTTTCCCAAGTCATAGTTGGGGTCTCCTGCAATGTCAGCATTTAGCGGGGTACTGAGACTTTTGGCAACTTGTGCCTCTACGATAGTGGAGTTGAAGAGCGTTTCGTTGACATAGATGTGAACTAATGTGGTGGTGCTTTGGGATGGAACCCCACTGTCATTCACTTGCACGACCAAACGATGAAGGCCAAAGTGCTTTTGCTCTAGTTTGCCAACTAATGAGATGACTCCTGTCCATGCATCCATGTCAAACAGTTTAAACGGGTTGCCGCCAACAATCCTGTAGCTAAGGTTAGCATTAACACCTGTATCAGTATCAGTGGCAGAGACCGTTCTGACCACTGTCCTTATGTTGCTAGAGGGTGGGAGCAGCGTGTATGAGTTATTCATTGGAAAAAGAACAGTGGGAGGATTGTCATTTACATCCATTACAGAGAGAGATACCGTGGCCGTAGCAGACCGAGGTGGATCGCCACCATCAACAGCTTTGACACGGAATGAATAATTGTTTCTTTGCTCACGATCAAAAGCCATGTTTGAGAAAATGGTACCTGTGTTGTTGTCAATGGAGAAAATGTTCTCCTCCTCCTCAATGTACAGACTCATATCTGCATTTTGCCCTTTGTCAGCGTCCATGACTGTAATCATGCCAACAGGACTGTTGGGTTGAAGGTTTTCCTGTATATAGAAAGTGAACACATCCTGCATGAACTTTGGCTCATTGTCATTTTTATCTGCCACCAAAACTACCACCGTGGCTGAGCCCTGCAGAACTGGCATGCCTTTGTCTTTGGCGATAACTTTGAACTCATATCGTTCCGTCTGCTCCCTGTCAAGTATGGTGTTGACACGGATGTCACCTGTGTCTGCATCAATTGAAAATATTCCGTTCACAGAGGAGTCCAGGGAGTAGGAGATTTCAGCATTTTTGCCACTGTCTGCATCTAAGGCCACTACTGTGACAACACGCTCACCGGGAGCATTGTTTTCAGGAAATGAAACCTCCACTGTGCTTTTGCTAAAAACTGGTGGATTGTCATTCATGTCCCCCACCTTCACTATTAGTGAATTGTTGCTAGAAAGACTAGGGCTCCCAGAGTCCACGGCAACAATGACCACGTTATACTCCTGCACGGCTTCATAATCAAGTGGTGCTGATGTGTGGAGAAAGTACTTCTTTTTATTCATGTCACCTTCGACCTCGCTGGCAGGTTTCAGCTGAAAAGGAACATCACCCACTACAGTGCATGTCACTATACCGTTTGGTCCTTTATCTCTGTCTGACACTTGCACGAGAGCAATGGGTGTATCGACAATCACATCCTCTGCCACATTAGCCACGCCGTCTTTCAGAAAGATGCGTCCAATTTTTCGGATGTCAATATTTGGGACATTGTCATTTTCATCTTTGATGTTTATGATCACTGTCGCCTTGTCAGTTTTAGGAGGCTGACCACGGTCACGTGCCATGACTGTGAAACGAAGCTGGCTCACATCTTCACGATCAATTCGGTGCAAAACACTGAGCCAGCCAGTGCTCTCATCAAGCCGCAGCAGTCGTCGCACTGACTCTGTGGCTGCTCCGAAAACATACTCGATCTGTCCATTAACACCAACGTCAGTGTCACCTGCCTTTAGCTGGAGTATGGGGGCACCTGGGGAACTGTTTTCTGGTAGGTCTGCCTCATAAACACTTTTCTCAAAGCGTGGGGTGTTATCATTTACATCTGTGATCATTACTCTCAGAATGGCTTGGGAGGAGCGTGGGGGGTCGCCCCCATCTCTAACCCGCAGAGTCAGCTCATAGGAGTCGCGCTGTTCTCTGTCCAGAGCCCCTTTGATAATTAGCTGCGGCTGCTTCTCGCCGTCTGTGGTGTCAGCAACTTGAAGTTCAAAGACGCTGCTACGGCTTGCTCCCTCGTCGAACCTCCGCTTGCCCGAGTGACTGTCAACACTGCCCGAGCCGGAAGTGCCGATTCGCCTGACAGTGCTCTCGCCGTTGTCCTGAATTAACTCGTATCGCTCAATTCCATTCCGACCAAAATCTCTGTCGGTGGCAGTGGGCAGGAGATAAAGTGTGCCAATGGGTCGGTTCTCTTCAACGGAGAGCGTGAGAACAGGTGAGGGGAAAGACGGCGTGTTGTCGTTAATGTCTAAAATAATCACTTTGCCTTCGAAGAGATCAACCCAGCTCTGCGCGGGTCCTATCACAGACACTTCGAAATCTATAAAACATTCGTTCTCATCAAAAATCATTTGACACTGCGGCAGCTTTTCGCGGTCTATTCGCCGCTCGTTTGTGCTGAGGTCTCCGGTCATGTTATCGATTTTGAAGTACTCGGAGCCTGATTCTAATGTAAAAGTCACGTCCATGCCTGCCGTGATGCCGAGGTCCGCGGCTACATTACCTACCCGGACATCGGCAGGACCCTCCTCAGCCAGGCGGTACCGGAGCACTTGCTTGGCTGCGGGCTGACTCAGCAGCTGCAGAATAAGAAAGCAGTAGCTTAAATAGTCCACAATGCCTGTAGTCCTCATAGCTCCTGGCGGCTTTTCCAGCAAAACTGAACGTGAATTCTGTTTAACAGCTTTTTCTTGCTTGTGTTAACGCGCCTGTCTCACTGCATGCGTTTTCACAACCGGGCACCTCTATGTGGTAACCAAACTAGCGCATATCTGTTTTTTTCCCCCGCTCAGACTAGACTCGCGCAATTCCTCTTTTTTTATAAATAGGTTTTTCTCTCAAACATATACACAGCACTGACAGAAAGTCTTCACAAATTCATTCAGTATTAAGCTTGAAATAAACATGCCATAAATTACTTGCTGAGACTACTCCGTGTTTGCCATGACTTGACATCGCCGAGTCTTCATTAAAATCATCGAAGCCAGATATTCAATCCATTGCGCAATCAACTGATGAGGTTTTAAATCCAGCCTTCCCAAATGCGAACTCTCCTCTCCAGATGATATCCCACCATACGGAATAGAAACTGAAATATCAGAACTTCATGTGCTGTGGTTATAAGCCGCAAAAGATCTGTGCTATCCGTGTGCCGTGTCCGCGCGCACAGATTTCTCCAGTCCACTCAGCGTCTAATAGTTCTCTCACTTGCACCAGAGAGCGAAAAAAAAATGGGGAAAATCTCCGCAGTGCCGTTCAGCGTTAAGGCAAAATGCAAAACTGAACAATAACGGAGTTATAATCCTGGCAGAGATGCTAGGAATGTGGTATTAAAATTCCAGCGCGAGGACGGTTCCTCTGTCCAGCGCGCGCCTCTCACCTGCAGCAGAAGCGCGTGTGTATATGCCGCACTCTGCGCTCGAGTCTCTCTCTCTTTCTTTCTCTCTCTCTCTCCCTCTCTCTCCACCCCCTTCACGCTGCGCTCCCTGTGCGACAAACAAAGCTCAACTTGATCGCTTAGTTTTACTGTTTGAGGAGGGTCTCTTCCTTTTGGTTCAGAAGGGCATTTTTTATTGCAAGAAGAAAGTACATAAATAATTTATTGTCCAGAAATGAACATTTATAGAGTGTTTGGTGGTTCACTGTGTTCGAAATCTTAAATGCCTCCCAAAAGGGGCTCGACTTTGTAAAGGGAATCACATTCTGCTGAGTGCTTGGGTGTTGCGCAAAGTAAAACTGGTTAGTCAACCGTCAGCTATCTGAAATATGCCTGCATTACGTTTACGGTGTGCAGCTCTATAGTAAAGTCATTAAATGACATTACTTACGTTTTGTCGATGGCACTAAAGCGTAACGGAACTGTTGCTATGGTTACATCCTTATTCAAACACGATTTCTTTAAGCAGGAGTAGAATATTTAGACTGGTTTGTCTTCAAACTTTAGGGAAACATTCTATCTGGAAGGCGTTTTTTTTAAGAATGCAGTGCACAAGTCATAGGTCTTAAATGGGATAGCACGTCATAGAAGTGGTGCGTTTGATAGATTAATGATAGGCCTATATATTAACGCGTCAGCACTTTCCATCTCGTGTTACAACACAAATGCATTCACCTTAAAAAACTTTATAAAATGTTATAAACAAGATAACCTTATGTTATCAAATTAAAACAAACAGAAAAGGTGAGGAAACTGTAAAATATATGTTTGTTTACACCCCTGGCTCCGTGCATAACAGTACCCTATTCATTATGCCACTCCGTACAAGTCAGATCATCTCGGTTTCAGAGCCCCTTGCGGCTTCTCGGTCTGTTAGAATTTAAATGCGTGTGGTCGTTTGTGGTGAGAACATTTCTTTGTCACGAATATGTATGCGATGAGCACTTCTACTACTTCACACTCATGCTCCTCCATCTGCTATGGGCTTTTTTTGCGCAGAAAAGGCACCACGGACAGCGACGCGCCGTTGACTCACCGGTGTAAAGGAGTGAGAGAGCGAGCGCGGCGACTCTCCGTGACCAGAACTCTGATGGAGACCATCAAGCGCACAGCAAAGAGCTACGATTTTATATACATCGCATAGTTAGTAACTTGCGCGTTCCAAAGCTAAAATCATTTCTTCATTAAACATAAATCGACAGTGTGCATGACATTTAAGAATATATTTTCTGCACTATGCCTGTTTATGAAAGTTCATGTTTCAAGGGATGTGCGTTTTTTTTTTTTTTTACTCCACTGAAGTGTGGCTGAGATGGCTGAGCTGGCTGAATCCCCAGCGCGAGGTGACTGGACCGGAGCTGCCGGCTGCAGAAGGATGGAAGCCCCGCTATTCATAAGAACAGTGCGCCAAATGTCGCTAAACAGCGCCCTCTGTTGTCGCGTTAAAATTCTACTCAGCAAATTAGTCATTACAGCATATATGTTGAGCTGGAATTGCAGCGTAGCATGCACAAATCGGGGTTTTCCTGATATATCTTACACAGGCTCAAGTCTATCTGCTCTCTTTCAATTTGTGAGTCAAATCCGAGCACCATTTTCACTCCTATTCCCTGCAGTCCGTTTCTCATTTAAAAGTACTGTCACTCATTAGGACGTTAATGACATTTGAAATGAGTGCTTTCAAAAGCCACTAGAGGGTGTTACCCTTTTTAGTGCGGAGTGCATGGAAGTTAAGAGGTCAACTTTTTAATATAGAGTCATTAATTTCTAGGCTCCTCTCAGGTGGATGTTTCAGGGTGAAATAGATTTTTCAATATCCTTTTGTTTGCAGGTTTCAGTACATCTATCTATACCGGGTTAGATGTTTTATATACACAATACACATTACTAAATTATTAAAAAAAAAAAAAAAAAAGTTCATATAAAGTGATACTCTACCAGGGGTCAATAAACTTGTTCCTGGAGGGCCGATGTCCTGCAGATTTTAGCTCCAACCCTAATCAAACACACCTGAACAAGCTAATCAAGGTCTTAGCTACTAGGTATACTTGAACCATCCTGGCAGGTGTTGAGGCAAGTTGGAGCTAAACCCTGCAGGGACACTGGCCAGGACCGAGATAGGTGACCTCTGCTCTAAACCAAACCTGGGCAAATGCTTCAGCAAATATGAGAGTGCGTTTACTGCAACAGTTGGTGTAAGTGAAAAGAATGTGACAAGCGCAGGTATTTTTACTTGATAGTCATGCATAATTTAAATATTACTGAAATACACTTAAGCAAATCACCACAGAATTGAATTAGAACTTCGGTAAGCATGTCTAAAAATGTGATCGGTTTTATATTTATGATTTTCCATAACAGTTAAAATGATGAGCAATTGTACAGCACTTTCTTGAAATTATGTACATATACACTCACCGGCCACTTTATTAGGTACACCTGTCCAACTGCTCGTTAATGCAAATTTTTAATTACCGAATCACACGGCAGCAACTCAATGCATTTAGGAATGTAGAAATGGGCAAGACGATCTGCTGCAGCTCAAACCGAGCATCAGAATGGATTTAAAAAAAGTGATTTAAGTGACTTTAAACGTGACATGGTTGTTGGTGCCAGACCGGCTGGTCTACATATTTCAGAAAAAAAGGATTTTTTGATTTTCATGCACAACCATCTCTAGCGTTTACAGAAAATGGGTTGGTTGTAAAGCGGGGGCACTTCAGATCATTTTGGATGGGCACTTTCTATCTATGACTAAAAAGGGCATGTGCATTGCACAGGTTAAGCCCTATGTGTGCACGTGTCTGGATGGTAGGTTCAGAATTTTGCATCAACAACATGTAAACATGGATCTATCCTGCCTTGTATCAATGGATCAGACTGCTGGTGTTAAGGCTTCTGTGTAAAGGTGTGGGGGATATTTTCTTGGCACTCTTTGGGCCCATTAATTAGTACCAATCTTGCACCCTGTACCAACTTTTCACCTACCTGAGTATCGTAGTTGACCATGTCCATCCCTTTATGACCACAGTGTACCTATTTTCTGATGGCTACTTCCAGCAGAAAACTGTGCCATGTCATAAAGCGCAAATAATCTCAGACTGGTTTCTTGAACATGACAATGAGTTCACAGTACTCAAATGGCCTCCACAGTTACCAGAACTCAATCAATTTGGGATGCAGTGGAACAAGATATTCATCATGAATGCAGCTGACAAATCTGCAGCAACTGTGTGATCCTATTATGTCAACATGGACCACAATGTCAGAGGAATATTTCCAGTACCTTGTTGAATCTATAAGGCAAATGGAGGTCCAACCCAGTGCCAGTAAGGTGTACCTAATAAAGTGGCGGGTGAGTGTAAATAAACATATGTTTGTACAGCATTACCTACTGCACCACTGCATCGCTTTATCAGTTTTTAGTTTTTTTTTTTAAAAATATATCAAGAAGGTGCATAGAAAAACAGAACCATAACTGTGTATAATTGATGAAAACGTGCTAAATCTCAGAGGGTGAAATCGGTAGTGAGAACCTTTGACAAGAATAACTCTGCTTCCACACATTACATTGCCGCGGAAAGGTGTCATTGCAACTTTTTACAAATGTGATGGAAACTGTTCTGTGGAGGTTCACATGCTCATTGTAAAGGCTACAGCTAATCTAGAGCGACACAGGTAGAATCGAATGTCTTGTACCATGCATTACGCTTGATTAATATCTTTATAATACATGCAAAAAACAACAAAACATCTAAGCAGGTTAATATCATTTCCGTACCTGCTTAGCCACTTTTTTGTGGTTATTAGTCAATCTCTTCCACTGCACTGTTAAAAGTTCACTTCATATACAAGAAACGGCATTTGTTTTCCACGGCTTTGATGGAACAGATATGATATCTCGTGGTCATTTCAAATGGGATCATCAACCGGCAGATTGGAAAATAATTAGTCGAGCGTCGTTCCACATGAAAGCTTCATTTTATTTTATCTGGGATCTGTCATGTGCTCTGCCCAACAGCCATAACAGTCCTCCCAGCAGCAAACACACCCACACTGCTCGGTGTCTTTCCCTTTTGTTTACTGCGGTGTAGTTAGATGAGGTGTGTGTGGGCAGTAACTTACACCTGCCGATTGTTTGGACTTTGTAGAACAGCGGCACTTGTCTTAATCTCCGCAGGCCAGTGAAACAAAACCACTGCAGCTTGTGTGGTACTTCTGTCGAGTTGAAAGACAGTGCTGTTGACCACCTCGGCGAACTACAAGTAGACTTGCTCTCAAACTTGCTGGCTTGCCTAAACAGCAGGAGGATTTTTTATTTATTTTTTATCTGTTGAAAGGCAGAAACAACATACGCTGATACGTTTCTGATACTCAGAACATTTAAAGAAACATTTATTCATTCATGCGTTTTCCTTTGGCTCAGTCCAGTACTTCATTTGTAAATGGACATTTATCGGAAAAAAACCAGGAAGCAAAAGTTACCGTGACCAACGTCCACCACACAATTTCAGTTTTTCCAGAACATGATGTTACTAAGCAGTTGATACCAAAAAAATATCACATTTCTGAATGGTCTTTAATTATTTTGTGCAATGTGATGTTATGGGTTGACATAGTGGCACGGTACGTAGTGCTGTTGCCTCACAGCAAGAAGGTCGCTGGGTCGAGCCTCGGCTCAGTTGGCGTTTCTATGTGGAGTTTGCATGTTCTCGCTGCGTTCGTGTGGGTTTCCTCCAGGTGCTCCAGTTTCCCCCACAGTAGTTGGCGGTTCATTCCGCTGTGGCGACCTTGGATTATTAAAGGGACTAAGCCGACAAGAAAATGAATGAATGAATGAATGTAATGTTATGTTATGGGTCAAAATAGTTAAAAACTAACAAAAAAAAGAAAAAAGAAACATGTAGCTACAAACATAATTCGTCTGAGACATCATTACTGGGTTTACTAACACCACTGACATCCAGTTCAATATTATGTGCCGACTGCC